CCTAGTTTACGCACGGTTACCGCGTTCTACGCATTCACAACATGTTCACAGCGGGGTATATCCACGCTGTATCATATAAAAACGATTACCAAGATTCGTTACGCAATACCAAGTTTTAAATTAGTTGCATTTTGAAGGGGTGGGCGCTTTGCCGAATGTGACCCCAAATATAAAAATTGCGCAAAAGTGGGGGGTGGGCGCTTGCCCAGGCATGGGCGCTAACGCGGTCGAGTACGGTAAATATGCTACTTGATCTCTATTGGAGATGGCTTCTAATTGAAAAAATGCATGTAATCGCATACTGCATTCCTAGTTCATCTATTTACCTTTTCCTGCTCTAGTTCCAACACTCGTGCCTGTGATTGCGCCGTTGTGTTCTTAAACGAATCATTTCGTTGCTCTATCATCACGTTACTTTGCTCTACAAACCTAGTAAATAATTAAAAGTTTTTAAGAAAACATTTTATGCAATCAGGAGGTAATCACACTGAACTGGCAATCACAGGGTTGTGAGTTTGAGTTTGCCATGATGTTGTATCCTCGGGCAAGGTACTTTACTCCTACTGCTTCTCACTACCCAGGATGAATGGGGAAGTCTTAGAAATGTTGGTAAATATACGATATATATATATATATAACCCATGTGCATCCTGAAAGCTTGACCATGAAATCCATTCTCTTGTTCCCATTCAAGTGAATCAGTTATTTCTCAAATAATTTTAATAGTTCTAGGCAATTTTATACATATTGTTACCCTCTCCAGAATATCAAATTTCAAGTATACATTCATACATTTATTAAATGACCATATGGTCGACCAACAAATGACTGAATACATGGTTTTCTAAAAACCGCATAATCAACAGGCATTTCAGTCGGCTGACTTTTATTTTCCTTCCTCATCTGCATAATTTATTCATACTTCAACCATTTCCTAATCTGCATAATTTATTCATATTTCAACCATTTCCTAATCTGCATAATTTATTCATATTTGAACTCACTGTTGATTTCTTTGCAGCAATTCTGAAATCTTTTCATTCTGGACTTCAATCCTTGAACTCTTTTCAAACATTTCCCGTTTCAGTCGTTCATTTTCTTGTACTATCCTCTGTATATTCTGCATAAGTATGCCAGACTCCATATTGCCTTGCTGACCAGACACGGCAACACTCTGGCTTCCTTGTACATGCATGTGGTCGATCTAAAAAAGTCAACAGTCAGTTCAGATTACATCGATTCACTGACAACAATTATGTGTCATGAGGTTACCACGAGAATACCGCAAAGTATGCACTCAGGCAGTACAGGAATGCATCAATCTCCATCAGTTGATATGATCATTGTACTACCTTCATGCATGATTTGTGGTAGTCTTGTGATCACCTCATTGTATTATACATCTTTGCTCTGATTGAAGTAATACTTTAACAAGAGAGATAACAGCCCGAAAGTTGCAACAAAGAATGTTTTGCGCTGTGCGAATATTAGCGTTACAGAATTCTATTTCCATAACACTCTGATAATGGTTCTGTATTTGACAAAAACAGAGGAAATTTTTGAATTGACCATGAAACACAAATTCCGAAAAAAGAAGAAATTCAAATGTGTTTGTAACACTTTCAAATTCTATTGTTTTTAGTGTCAGATGTCTAAAAATTATTTATACATGAATGAGAGTTATATGGTCAAAATAATTCCTATATTTAATAAAATTTATGGTTTACATCCACTTCTATTAGAGATGTGCTTCTACTACAACAAATACAGTAACATCTTTTTAATACAGTGTGTGAAATGCCGAGAATATCAGCTATATTATTTTAGTGTAGTTTTCATAAAGGCACTATATAACAACAAAAACTGAATATTATTATGTTATATTTCATTGCCACTGCCAGGGTTAGGGTTAATCTATTTTTTGTTGGTTTTCTTTTTGTCTCAATAAATCAAAGACGTTCCTGACAACATTTTTTTTTACATTTGGTTAGGGTTAGGGTTAGGGTTAATCCATTTTTTGTTGGTTTTCTTTTTGTCTCAATAAATCAAAGACGTTCCTGACAACATTTTATTTTACATTTGGTTAGGGTTAATCCAACTTTTGTTGGTTTTCTTTTTGTCTCAATAAATCAAAGACGTTCCTGACAACATTTTTTTTTACATTTGGTTAGGGTTAGGATTAATCCATTTTTTGTTGGTTTTCTTTTTGTCTCAATAAATCAAAGACGTTCCTGACAACATTTTATTTTACATTTGGTTAGGGTTAATCCAACTTTTGTTGGTTTTCTTTTTGTCTCAATAAATCAAAGACGTTCCTGACAACATTTTTTTTTACATTTGGTTAGGGTTAGGGTTAATCCAACTTTTGTTGGTTTTCTTTTTGTCTCAATAAATCAAAGACGTTCCTGACAACATTTTTTTTTACATTTGGTTAGGGTTAGGGTTAATCCAACTTTTGTTGGTTTTCTTTTTGTCTCAATAAATCAAAGACGTTCCTGACAACATTTTTTTTTACATTTGGTTAGGGTTAAAATACCTACAAATGCAGCTACAAACGCAAAGAACAATTTTCCCGCCAAAAAATATGTAGATTTATTCATTTATGTGAAGGCCAGGCCTAACAAATATGTTCTTTATTTAATTTCTAAATTTCTGTAATTTGGATATTTTTATTTAATCAGTGGCACCATTCCCCAAGGGTACCTGTATACCTGTGATATCACCAAAATCTACCTGTGTTTTGGACATTTTCATTTATTCAGTGGCACCATTCCCCAAGGGTACCTGTATACCTGTGATTTCACCAAAATCTACCTGTGTTTTGGACATTTTCATTTATTCAGTGGCACCATTCCCCAGAAGTACAGATGGATTTAGAGACCTAACGAACAAGAGTGCAGTATCATATAGAGTGGGGACACTACCTGTGATAAAAATATGAAATAAACAGTGAGTAGAAGCAAATACTGCAGCCGTTCAAATGAACATTACCTTGGACGAGACTGTCTCAATTTTATCTTGCAGTTTGCCGATAGCAAGCCGTATTTCAGTCTGTTGTTGCCGGGTTTCTGACAGAAGCATAGGAGTGGTCATGTCGCTGCCGACTGGTTGCTGCTGTGGAGGTTGTGACTGTGGGTACATGGCACTATACTGGGGAACTTGCGGCATTTGCTGTGTAGGAGCCATCCCATACTGTGAAACTTGAGCCATCGGTTGGGGTGGCTGGAACGTTAAAGGCGTTGCACCTGCATATTGCTGAAAGAAATGTTATAATGAGTTCATCACAGCTTATCTATTTAACTTTCAGAGTCACTCATTATAACAAGCAGCCTCTCTGCTGAGATAGCTCCGCTGTTAGCAATGCACATTTCAATTAACGAACTGAAGATATCATTAGAAAATGAACAATATGTATAGTATCAAAGCAATCGTTTTTCAAAAAGAATTCAAAAATATCCTATTTTACAAAAATGACAAAGATATTCATCAAAATTAGAGAATTGAAGATATCATAACAAAATGAACAAATCTGAGAGAGTGACAGGTGACAACCAGCACCGACGGACAATCACTCATATGATAAGCTCCTCTTGACAAAGTCCACAACGGAGCTAAAAAGGGGACAGAACAACTACTGTAAAATCTGTATTAGAAGCCGCGGCTTCTATTAAAATGGTACAATGCAACAGAGTGGATGCGGCTTCTATTGGAGCATCTACACATATGAGAAATGATGAATTTTTGGTTCTCAATTATTCAAATAGAATGGATGCGACTTCTATTAGGGATGCGGCTTCTAATACAGATTTTACGGTACGCTTCTCCCACTTTCTTCTCCTATGTATGTCTCTTCAGCTATGGAAATTAGACAACCATATATAATGAATACATCTCAATAGAACTCTACTACCACTGAGCAATGAGTAAAGCATTTTCCATTTACAAAATTTATATCACATTCATTGTACTGCCTTGCACAAAGTAAAGCAAAACTCACTTTTTTAAATCTATTTTGAGTTGTACTTACCGGGAAAGGTTGTGCAGGCATCTGAGGCTGAGATTGGTAAAGTGCTAGTTGTTGTGGTGGAAAAGGTTGGGCAGCTGCAAAGAAAATATCCTCTGCTTGTAAATAATAAACATACACCTCTTTAATTTGGCCTGCTTTTTTATACTTGGTAAAGCATAGAGTTCTTATTGTCCAGTCTTGTAACATTCAGTAAAACAGAGACCTGGAAAAACTAAATTTACCTTGCATCGGTTGGGTCAAAGGTTGGGTCAAAGGTTGTGATGGCACAGTCTGCGGGGGTAACTGCTGTACTGGCTCAGTCTGCTGTAATAGTGGTTGTTGTGGCACGGTTTGTAGATTGTCAGGCTTCGCTGGTATGGAAGGATGAGCGGGTGCTTGATGTGTGGTGTGATCCTGTGATACAAATAAACAAACTGAAACCACTGGACATACTTTACAAGTAATTGGACTGTCGATATACAGAGGATATCCAACGAGTGACAGTGTGATATCTGATTTATTAAACAAGTGTAGGAATTTTTTACATGTTCCGATCACGAATTGAAGGTCCTATTCAACCCCATGTATCCATTTCACAGCTTTTTATCATCATAGAATCGTAGAATTCTGTGAGCGATTCTTAACATGTTCAGTAATCATTTGCATATTAGATAAAAGTTTACCGACAATTTATAGCCACTGTTTGGAAGGAAAATAAATATATTTACAGTTTTAGCGACACATTTGTAACATTTTACTAACTTTCTACCAGCAGTTTTCGGCTGGTAAATACGAATTAGTTTTCTCCCTATTCTCTAATAGCTACAGTCGCCAACAAATATAAAAGTTGTACGACACAAGACTGACTGGTTACCCCATTTCTTATTAAAACATTGAAAATTAAAATTTTCATTGTTTCGACTAAGTGATACCTCCTCTATGGTTTCAAAATTTGCAAAGTAGAATGAATTAAAAAAATCTTAGTAACATTGTGAATTGCCTTGCAATATGTATCTCTGATCACACATCGTAGTTACAACACTAACCTCTACTTCAGAGTCTACACTATCTGCCTGTGTCGCACTGGACCCCATCCTTGGCAACATTGGCTGACCCATCTTAGCCATGCGGGAAATCAGTTTGGCTTTACTCTGAGTTTGTGGTTGCGTCTTTGAAAAGAAATAACAAGTTATATTAATACAAAATACATTGTAAACACTGTACCGAAAATTTATTTATTTTCAGATGAATTTTTTTTGCTGAAAAAATTAAACAGCGACAATGAAATCCAGCAAAAATTCAACTCTTCAAAAATCAGTGAAAATAAAATTCATACAAAACAGCTAAAAAGTCTTTTCAGCAAAACTGTAAAATGACTAATTTTCACTGGGTTTAAATCATCGCTGATTTACCATTTCAGGCATATTCAGTGGGTTTTAAATTCACAGTTTTATCATTTAGATAATGTGTTCTATGCTAAATTTTACATATTCACTGGGTTTTAATTTAGTGCATTATTCAGTCGGCAAAATAAGCAAAATTAAAACCCAGTGAATAATTAATCCTTTTACAGTAGAGTATTTAAAGTATGTATGGCCCCAAGGAAGCCATAGAATGCTCCATTTTCAATTAGAATTATCAAAAACTCCACACCCTGGTAGGGAGAAGCCTATCTCCCCAACTTGCTTGCGCCACTGAATTGCAGTGCTCCCTCTTGCAGTTTTTTTCTAGAAAAACCCCTGGTAATGACAATGCTTACCGCTGCTAGCTGTTCATTTATTGAAGCAGTTCTGGCTCTCACAGATTCCTCACTAAAAATGAAAGCACAGTTTATGTTATATATTTCACTGTAAGATTCTACCGGAGTACATACATTTCCAATGATAGGTATTCACATAAGACGAATACAATCAAGACATATAGCAGATATGGCAAATCTTCATAGCTACATGTATGGACAAAGGTGTGGTGGGAATCAAGTTCATGAACACCTGAGAACTGGTTCTAGAATGGCGAAAAATGATTGGTTATTTTTTTTAAATTTAAATTTAAGTCTAACAATTAATTGCTACATTCAGCCATGTTTAATTGTGCAACAAATAAATGGGAATACAGTGTGTATATGCAAGTACAACATGAATATATATGTGTGTGAAATGAATTAGTATATGCATGTTAAAGATATGGCTCCAGAAAAACTTCTTTTAATCTATCAAAGATCAACCATCACAGTCAAACACAGTTAAACTGAGAAGAAATAATCATCATCTTGTAACCATAGATACACAACTACAGTGACCCACATTACTTGCATCATAGCTACACAGTTGAGGACAAATGAATCTGGCATCATCCACAAAAATCAGGATGGTATATAGCAATAACATACAAGATGTGTCAGGGCAGCATGTTACTGAACACACTTGCAAAATTGGAGACAAACAGTTTGGTTACTGTGACCATGAGGGATACGACTGATGTGTGAGTCATTTTATTTTATTTTTATTTTTATTTTATGGCAGTATAAATGGTAAATATGATATAAAAGGTTACTGCGAAGTACGCATGAAGGCAGTACAGTGGTCGTATAGAATGATACTCAGTGGAGAATGATGGAACCCGTACTGTTTGGTGGCATACTTTTGTGATAACCTCATTATACATCTTTTTCCTGCATGTAGGGATAATTTAATGAAAAAATATACCAAAAATTACAACAAAAACCTTTTGTGCTGAACGAATGTTTGCCTTCAGTGACGGTGATTCTATTTCATAACGATAAAATACTTCTTTGTATGATGTAAACCAGAAAACAAATTCCAATGAGACGTCAATAATCTGATGGTGGTGTTTACCCCAATAATCAAAAATACTTTATTTTCGCTTGGAATTAATTTTCACTTAAGGAATGATTCAGTGAAAATAAAATCCAGCGAATATACTTTTTTTCCTATATTTCACATTCAACTCGCCAAAAATCAGTGAAAATAAATTCCATACAAAACACCAAAAATGTCTTTTCAGCGAAAATTAATTCCAGTTAAAATAAAGAATTTTACAGTATATGAGCAAATTCAAATGTTTGAATGATTGCTGATATGTTTTTAATGCGAGGTGTATAATGCCATGTTTCATAAACTATGAACGTGTTGAATAAATGCATATATTCAATGGACCGTGTAGAAGTAAACATGAAAGCGTGGTTTACCCTGCTAAAAACATTACCTGGCAGAGTCTGTAGCAGTTGATTCAGTGGCATCTTGTGTTGCCATGACAACCGGTGATGAAGAAGATGAACTGTGATCTTCTCTGTCTTTTGAAAATTTAACCTTAGAGTGAAACAAGTTAACACCAATCAAAAAAAGACAATCCCTTCTCAAGTACAGTGAAAGTACCAGGATGTGAGTCATGCATAAGGCCTATTGTGCACCTTTTCCGTGATACATTTCATTTCAATGTTTTCCAGACAGTGTACTCACTTTCTTTATTTCCACTTCAAATATAAGCGTAGAATTTGGAGGAACTCTGTTCCCCATTCCTGTACTTCCATAAGCCAGAAATGGAGGTATTATTAAGAGTCTTTTACCACCTTTCTTCATACCAAGTACACCTTCATCCCATCCCTGTTAAAGATGAATACATTATATTAATATGAATTGATCACTCATGTTTTGTTGGTACTGCTAACCAAATGTTTGCGGTGGTTGTAAAACCCAGTTTGTAGTGGTGGTGGTATCCAGGTAATAGTATTGTGCGGTGATGATTACTATGACAGAACACCACACCCTTCCCGTGGTTTTCGATGCGAATGGAAGTTATTTTTATGAGTGATGTGGTGTATCCTGCAGCCATACTTCCATAAGCTTCACTTCGCTTGTGAAAGTACAGCAGAATACACCGCGTCTCGAGTACCATTACTGTTGTTCAAATTTCATTTCACTCGGCAAGTATATTCATGTACCCCAAGGGAAAAATATTGTACTTCTAAATATTTTTTATTTCTGATATGTTTCGAAAAACGGTACTCCTAAAGGGACTACTTTGTTTGCTTTCAGACCTCATTTGCATATGGGGTGTGGAAATATCAATTTTGATTTCAGAGACGAATCAAAATAAACTGCAGTACATATGTAACAATTATAGGTAATGGTTGTAGTGGTATCTGTATTAAGATGGTGGTGAGGGTTAACATGGGTATATAAGGCTGTAGAAGATAATATTTTACCTTGATCACTTTGCCTTTGCCTATTTTAAATCTAAATGATTTATCAGAATTCGCATTGCTATCAAAAACCTATCGAGAAACACACAAGAGAAATTAATAAATATTTCAACCTCGTTATTCATTGAAAAACAAGACATATTAACCCCGGAATATTACCCAGCGTAACTTCTTGGATTTTACTTTCAAAAAGGAACACGATCAGCATTTATCGATTGCAAATTTAACAGAATATTAATAATAAGTAAAATATTAACAAATTTTGACAATTTCCCTAACATTTGAGACAGAATATGATGTTATTTAACGATTTTAAAAACAAATTTAAATTAACAACTTTTAGCAAAACAAATTTTGATTATGAATTAATTTACAAAAGCTGGTATTGGTGATGAAAGGATTACTGTAAAATACTTTATTTTAGCTGGAATTAATTATCGATGAATAGACTTTTGGGGAGTTTTGTATGGAATTAATTTTCCCTGATTTTTGATGAGTTGAATTTAAAATATAAGAAAAAATATATATTCGCTGGATTTTATTTTCACTGAATTATTCCTTCAGAGAAAATTAATTCCAAGTGAAAATAAAGTATTCTACAGTATTTAAATATAGATAGTACTATAGATTACCTTTCCTAATCCATGATTACTATAAATCCATCCTGTGTATTTAACTTCCACTGAATCTCCATTATCCAAAGCCAATCCATCTCCTAGTATCATATCTTGTGTAATGACGCCATCTGTATTTCCTCCAGCACTGTTCACTTTAGACAGAGCTATCTGTAAATTAAAACAAATGATATTATACACAGAATAATAGCATAGGTCAGTATCTTATTTTGCATAATGATGCTATTTCATTCAACAAATATTTTTATTTTTTTTCTGAAATTCTGTATATTAGGCCCCCTTCATGTCAAGATAATTTATAGTTTACTAAAAAGTATAAAAAAAACACAGAGACAGATGTGAACATGATATATGAATAAGCATCTTTATAATGATTTCAACATGTCAGGAGAAATGATCAGAACCAAGAAAATCTGATAGTCACCATTACCGGATTCTGCCATAAATTCACCCATCCAAAAAATTGATTAAAATGTTCGAAAAATGACGCCAAAATATTTTTAAAAAAAACACATTAAAAAACTGTCGAAAAAAATTTGTTTGGTCCTATTATATTTTATTTAAACCCCAAACCGCCGTTTAACATCCAAGGCAAATTTACAGAAGAATCCAGTAATATCTCACATACCTGCTTAGTGAAGTCTAAGGCATTCTGTTCAGATTCAAACATAATAGACCAGTTTTGTCTTGTATCGTCATAAAATGTACCATAATTGTTTGCCTGCACCTAAATTGAAACCATGTAGCAGTAATTATTATTATTATACATCTGTTACAGTAACGCTATAAGTTACAGCGTACCATAATTTTGTGGTGTATTTTCATCCTATCATATTAGGAAATGCAAATTCCAAATATGGAATGATTACATGCGTAAGTGTATTCTAATAATAAAAACAAGCATGGCTGCCACCAGGGTTTGATCAGACACCATACAAAGAAGTTCGCTGATTTCTGTTCTTTTTTTGAATTTCGGCATTCCCATGATGAATCCTTGGAAGGAAAAGATGTATAATAATAAGGTTATTAGGAGAATACCTCAAAGTATGCACTCAGACAGTACGCTGTCACATTGACCGTTGCGCGTCAGTCGATACTCTCGCTGTACTGTCTTCGTGCATACTTTGAGGTATTCTTGTAATAACCTCGTATTATTATACAATTGAAAGTGAAAATAATAAAGTTTTCCCATAAAACCCTGTGCAAACATGTTTGAATGTGTCATGGTCGTATTTCCAAATTGGAAAATGTGCGTCATATTTATGTCATATTCAAACACTTTAGCATCAATTTAGAGTGTGACAGAAAAAAAAAAACATAAATAAATAAAAAAAATTTTTTGCTGGCATTTTAGAGCATTAAATTATAACTACATATAGGAAAAGATGTATAATAATAAAAATTACATAATAATACTTCAAAGTATGCACTCAGGCAGCAAGGAATCACATAAATAAGATCACTGTACTGCCATTGTGCATACTTTGCAGTATTCTCATAATAATATTGTTTTTCCTTTACATAGCTTCTTTCAATTAGTTTCACAATATGACGTCAATTTCATATTCATATGAGTTGAATTACTACAGTCGTCATCTTAGAGGCTTATCCAAATTGCAAACTTCTTTCATATAGAAAACATTTCAGTCAAGAGAACCTTAACAGCGCAGGATTTGTTTGACGATTTCAGCCACTTATGTTTTTCTGTACTGTTCCTTCCAATCTTATACGTGTTATATAAGAACTCCCAACATTCATTGCTACTGTGTCTGTGTCCAAGCGAACTTCAAACATGGAACGTTTCATACTTCACAGGCTCGGTGATTGTGTGTCAAAGCAGGATGCTAATTAGTGTTGCATGCTGGGACTTTAAAATAAAGCATTCAGTTTTCAAAATGCGTAACTCGCAAATGCTGTAATAGTGAGATAGTATAAAATACTTTATTTTAGCTGGAATAAAGACTTTCTTGGTGTTTTGTATGGAAGTTGAATGTAAAATATAGGAAAACAGGTATATTTGCTGGATTTTATTTTCACTGCATCATTCCTTCAGTGAAAATTAATTCCAATATAGTATTTTATAGTAAAACAACTTTAAATGAAAGATCACAAAAATACTCACCACAAAACTGAAACTGGCAGTGATTCTAGTCGATGAAACTTGCTGTTTTTTACTTAAATACAAGAGAATTTGATACTGAAATTGAAACATCAACAAAAATCAACTATCACTGAAAACAATATTTTTTCTCGTCCTACTCAACTTGAAAAACAATAGTTTGCACACTTGATAACAATCACACTGCATCAATCTTATCAACCGCCATTTTAACTACAAAATATAGTACGCCCTCTATGGCAAATACAGTAACTGTAATCAAAAAATGTACCAGAATTGTCTGGGACTATTAAAAGTGAATAAATGAGTAGCATTTTACCTCATTGTTGGCATGGTTACCAAGCACAGCAGCTCCTAGTTTTCCTTGTTTATTGTATTGCCCATTAATACTGTTGAACAGAAAGAAAGAAGGTTGGTAATAAGGTGGGTACTTTATGGCCAAGCACATAGCACCAAGATCCCCCAAATACCCCAGCCAGCAAAGTCTCTGGCGTATTCCATATACCCGGTACTCACTATTTGAAGGCTTGAACTGCTATCGCATGTAGGACTTTAGGTGCTGCCGGATCAGAAGCTAAAACAAAAAGTAGATACACGATGATTTAATTTTTATAAATGGTATTGTAAAATAACAAAATTCAATGGAAGAGTAAAACTGACCTACCGTATTTGTTCTATTAGAAATATATCTCCAATAGAGAAACAAGTACTATATTTGCTCAATTAAAAGCACAAGTTTAAGTGCACATAAAACAAAAATTACTGTACATTGGATTTTATTTTGACCATGGTCAGATCTTAGTATTAATACAGCAAAATACAGTATACCACAATGCACCTTACAAACTTCTTACAAATTTCTGAAATCCTCATTTCCCCAAATAATCACAGACTATTCCAAGTAACTGGATTCTAAGTTCATAAATTCCTGAAATAAGGCAAATAATTACAAGCATAAAGGGCCCTATTCCAAATACGTGGATTCTGAATTTATAAATTCCTGATAAGAGGCAAATAATCACAAGCATAGAGGGCCCTATTCCAAATACATGGATTCGGAATTTATAAATTCCTGAAATGAGACAAATAATTACAAGCATAAAGGGCCCTGTTCCAAATACGTGGATTTTGAATTTATAAATTCCTGAAATGAGGCAAATAATCAAATAGAGCGCCTTATTCAAAGTAAGTAGACACTGATTTAATAATATATATTAATTATGATCGCAATCATCAAATTTCAACAACACAAGTTTGTTTGCCATTTCTACCCCTTGATTTCTGTCTTTAAGATAACATGGTAACTAAATCGTTGTGAATCGTGTGCTCACCAGTTTCTTTTTGTTTCTTTGGCTGCTTTGGTGCTGTGTAAGTCAGCGATGCATTGCCACCAGTGTTACTTGCACGATCCATACCAAACAGAGAACTCAGCTTTGAGCTACAATAAAACAACAAGAGTCATATTATTAAGAATAACCTAAGTAGTCTCATCGTCTATGGTTTCTATTAAAATCATACATGTATTTATGTATCTATGTATCGGGGACATGTAAACATTTCATTTTCACTGCTATTGAAATTTGTGATATGATAACAGCATTGGTGAGAATAATATCACAGTGACTCATTATCAGTTTCACTTTCAATATTGAAATAGGACAATTTGTGACATTGCTGTTGTAGGCATTGTGATCAGTTCTCTTGTAAGCTTTCCAGCATATAATAACATGACTGCAGCAAACTAGTGGCTCATTTTATCAAGATGTATATGGAGACCAATAAAACATAGACAAATATTTAATTTTTTGGGTGAAAAGGGCAGAACAAACACCGTGGATGTGAATCAAACGTTCACATGAACAAAATCACAGACATCCATGCTATTGCATTATACTGTGGAATACTTTATTTTCGCTGGAATTAAGGCTGTTTGGGAGTTCTTTATGGAATTTATTTTCACTGATTTTTGATGAGTTGAATGTGAAATATAGGAAAAAAAGTATATTCGCTGGATTTTATTTTCGTGGAATCATCCCTTCAGCGATAATAGCGAAAATAAATTCCAAGCGAAAATAAAGTATTCTACAGTACTATGCCAAAACAGATAATCAATAGAGCGATTGTGAAACTGTCAGAGTACATTCAAAGTACAACATTCGCCTTGTATTTCACACCAGACATTGCATTAAAGTTGTTTGTCTACTGAATCGGTTTCCCAAGCTTGATGTAAACCTACTTCCCCACCCCACCCCCACCCACAAATCTGTGCACAATTCTACCAAGAGGTTTGACTTCTGTAAAATGCATAGATTTGATTGAAGGGATCTTTTAAGTCTGCGCCCAATCAGAGTTGTTGTAGCATGTGACAAAAGTATTAAACAAAATGTAGCATTGTGCTGCTGATTGTGAATTTTTATCAGATTCTATAACAGTGTGTTTTCAATGCAGGCACTGTACTCTTGAGTTCATGTATCTATGCAAAATATTGAAATCATTATTTTGACTCGTATCTTATCAGTTCACAGTTCTTACCCCAGGGCCTTACATGAATACAGTTGTTATGCTTACAGACTTGTGACGGCTGAAATCTATGTTTGTATTATTGCGAGTATAACATCTTGCATCATGCACACAAAAACGGTGGCCATGTTTCACAGCTGTGTTTCTTTAGTGTAGTATAGTGAAAATAGGGGAACAAATAAATAGATAGAATTGATCTAATTATTTAGATTTTAGCCCGTACATAACTAATTATAAAATGTCTGCTAAATCTCTGGCTTGAAAGAAAATATTCCACTGTAATCGTACCTATTTTGTCCATGATAAAGTTGTAACAAGCGATTTGATTGGACAGAAGGAAATATCTCTAGTATTGCCGATGAGGGTGCACTGAAAATACACGTTGGCTGAAAAGAATCTTCCAAGGAATAGTGGTGATGTGATGGCGGAATAAACGAAAATTTTAAATTTCTTGTTTTTTGAAAGGATGGCAAATTCACGTGTATTGATAGTGTTACAATATAGTAACACTAATAAACTCAAGCACACTTCATATTTGTTGCACAAGTGTGCTTTCATCCATTATGGGGCAATAAAATGACTGTTCAGACAATAAGGACATCCTTATTTCTCATTTATTTACGTTAACAAGTAATCATATTAATTTGTTAACACTAGGTCAAATTTATTTCTGTTAACACGGAAGTCATACATTTGTATTTACATTTACCGATAAAAAAATGTATTTCTAAGAATGCAATGAAGATTTTATTATTAGAGTATTAGTATTATTATATTATTTGTTTCTGATACTACACGTCATATTTATTTCCGTTTACACAGGCGTCAGTCTGTTTGATTGTGGATGTACGAACTACTATAATTAGCATACTTTCAAGTTGTTTTAGAAAATAATCTGGATAGATCTAGCGGTTAATGAAAAATGGAATAGCAGAAATCGTTCCCCGTCCCCCAATAAATGGGGTACTGGTTTGAACGCAGACTTGAAGAACGGCGGCCAGTGCATGATCATGATCATGACACCGCCAGGGCGATGATGTGGTGGGGATGTTACATCGCTGCTGACTGCAGCCAAAATGAAATTAGAATTAACTTACCTCCCTCCAGGCATCAGAAAGTCGCCATCATCGTCGTCATCACCGCCAAACATCGTTACAAATTTAAGAGTAGCACAAAACAAAATGAAACAGTGACACCTCCCCTCATGTGACCCCTGACAATCAAGATGGCGTTTAAGTCCCATCATGCAACGGATAGGGATACCCCCTAAAGCCCTTTAACTTGGTAATTATAAAGTTGCAATGTCACTTACTGGTAACTTGGCATTCGCAAAGTATGTTGCCATTCAGAAATAATTATGCACGGGTTTTATTACTGGGGGCGCTCGGCAAAACGTCGGATACGCAACGTATCAACGAAACTCGTAATAGGAACATATAATCTGGGTAGGCACGACAGTTTACTTTAATACACTATGTAATTGGCATTAAAATGATTACATAACAACAACAAAACAAATATATCTACAAACTGGGGTTTCGCATAATGCTTGGCAATTCACGGCCACCTAATAACCTACTTTAAAACATGTTTTTTTAGCTAGCATGTTATTTTAGCTAATTTAGCTAATCTGTAATTTCGCTAATTCAAGATGTCGCTAATTAGAATAAAGTACTGTAAAACATATTTAAATAGCTACATGCAATTTTAGCAAATTTGAC